GGTGATGAGGTCAGTTCTTATGATTTACATAACACAATACTTTTTATCAGTATGAGGTTTTGTTGAGATCGTAGAATTTTCATAGTTTGCATTTGTGGACTAAGCTCAAGGCATCACTAAAAACAAGAAAGTATTGGGACATCCATCCTTTTTTTCTAATGATCACTTTGCTGTCAAATTGACTATCATTAGTCCTCTATAAAGATGTCTTGACAATGATATTTGTGACTTGATTTCTTAAAATGTATTGCACTAATACATCTCATTTTGTTACAGATCAACTCCGTACTCTCATTATACAAACGAAACACATGTCAAATATTCATTGTTACCATCATTTACTTCAATAAGGATCACTGAACAACATTGTCGAGTTTCTTTGAAGTGGAAATGGATAGGGCTGCAAAATATTCGTTAATCAATCAGTTTTATGTCATGCCCTGCATGTATATGATTCAAATGATAATGAAGTAATTAATCCTTCGCAAATTTATGTGCTTCCTCAGATGTCCTAAACTGACTGCTGAGTATGTGTTGATAGATTGAATAAGTGTTCATGTAGTTATTGATGAAAATTGGAAATTACTGACATAATAATCAGTATTTCACAGTATTTTTAGAACTCATGTGATCCAGCACTATAGCGTTTGTACCAAGTTATATTAGTTTGTTTGCTACCCACATGGATCGAAGTCATAGAGTGATAACATACGATGCTAGTTGATTAACTTAAGAATGATCCATTCATGATTGTATTGGAAAGATGTTTCCGGACTGTTAATGTTGATGGATGGAGTACACAGTAACTTGATAACACGGAATGATATAACATAGTCAAATGAATACTTTTAAACAGATCAAATTAACGATCGATATTAGCTTCAAACTGCAGGCCACTCCTAGTCACTACATGTCAGTTGTGAAATGTCGCTCGACAGAACAATGTCCAACACTGTTTCTTACGATGAACTAATGATAGAAGTAGCGGAAACTATTCCGATATGTCAGGTTGTATGAGAACTGAGCGTAAATGCAAATCATCTGAACAACATTCACCTTGAATATCGGCAAACTACAACGAAGTATTCTCTTCTAAATGAAAGATAGAAGCAAATACACATTATTATTTACTCTGCCACTCAATTGACAAATGTACTAATAGAATTCTAATTGGAATGTTTGAACTATGAGAAATGTCTGAACGACTAATGAACTGATCGATTTTGTGAGAGAAAGAAAAGAATTTTCTTGCTAATAATCTTCAGATTTACTGTTTTGTAAATTAAACAGAATCATCGCATCACTTAACGGATATTCATCGTCAATACAAAATTCTTATTCACAAATCGATACCGGTGTACTATTATTTACATTTACATCTCATTACCGATGAACAGAGTTTAATAGACAGGTACAATGAATGTTCAATTAGATCATATTGACTAAGGAAATAATCAATATACACTTTACCATCAAATCACACACATTTACTAATACTGATAAAATTCTCGAGAACTTCACAACTATTAGTTCATTTTGCAGAGCAGTCCGTCAATCTGAAGATTATTAGCAAGAAAATTCTTTTCTTTCTCTCACAAAATCGATCAGTTCATTAGTCGTTCAGACATTTCTCATAGTTCAAACATTCCAATTAGAATTCTATTAGTACATTTGTCAATTGAGTGGCAGAGTAAATAATAATGTGTATTTGCTTCTATCTTTCATTTAGAAGAGAATACTTCGTTGTGGTTTGCCGATATTCAAGGTGAATGTTGTTCAGATTATTTGTATTTACGCTCAGTTCTCATACAACCTGACATATCGGAATAGATTCCGCTACTTCTATCATTAGTTCATCGTAAGAAACAGTGTTGGACATTGTTCTGTCGAGCCACATTTACAGTCAGCATGTAATTAAAATGAGTCACAGTATCTAATAATGACACCTTTGGCAGTATTTACTCGTGTGATCTTTTCAATTGGTTAGTTTTTTGTTATCTTTACAGATTGAAGTCATAGAGACAACATACAATGCCAGTTGACTTACTTATGAATGGTCCTTCAATGAGTTTATCGAAAGGATGTTTTTGGACTGTTAATGTTGATGGATGAAGTACACAGTCACTTGGTAATTCAGATTGATAGAACATAGCCAAATTAATACTGTTAGACAGGTCAAATGATTGATCGATATTAGCTTTGAAATGATGGACTGATATCAGAAGACAAGATACGTCTCAACATAATAGGTTTCTTCTCTTCACAAAATCATGCACTTTTATAGAAAACAAGAATGAACATGATTAGCAGTTCATCAACATATAAATGATTGATTGGTTAGATGTCTCTATAAGCCAGTTACTCTTCAGTGAACTGAATGACTAACGATCAAGTTCAATTCTTGCCTTATCTGATCACAAGCCTTCAACAAACTGAGGAATGATTCATCTGTAATAATAACATTCATAAAATGGGAATGCTTGATCGAGTTCTTTAATCTAGCAGACTGTTCAATAAAATAGATAAGATCACTATGATTGTCTAAAGCTTGCTAATCTACTTACTACTTTTGAGGATATATTTGACAACATAAGTCAGAACAACAAGACTTGTCCGACACAGATTCAGACCTGCTTCAAACTACGATGATTTAACCTGCATTGCTCTTCATAAAATAGATTAGAATGTTAATGAGTACATCAAACATCTTACCGCGTATTGTTTATCCTCCTCACTTGATACAAGATGGATAAGTATACAGTCAAGCTTATCTTTAATTACCTAATGCAACAATAGTTTATGAACAACCTTTCTTAACGTTTTAAACTCATAACCCAAATAAAATAATTTTCAATTGTGTACAATCAAAACTGATTCCTTATGGCTCAGAAGCGTTCACTGATGTTCAACGTGAAATACTGAATAAATTAAGAATTAAAATCTTACGATCAACATGTTAACTTTTCAATGAAATACAATCACTTGTTGAATTAAATCAAGCTTACTCAAAATCAATATTTGTTTGCTATTTACAAAAACATTTTCCCCCAATTATTCAATACTGATCGATCAAACATGACATGGATCAAATATGATATACATCATGAACCACTACGAAAATATTTTAGTCCAACACAAGGCCATCGATTGTCTGAATGGTTCAGTGGTGACTTCATAGACTGTGAAGTTTTATATGATACGAACCCGAATCCATTAGGTAGAATCAGTTTCATGTCTTCTGATAAGTGAAGAATATCAATATAACACCGTTCAGGGTTTCCTGTTTGCTATCTTCAATTGCCAAAATGAACGCACAACAAGTTGATTGATAAGATTCGATTTGTATTGAAAGACTAAACAAACATTAGATTGGCCATTACTTATCGAACAATCAGTTGTAAATAATACAAAATTAAGGATATTAATGCTTAAAATTTAGTCGTGACGAATTATAATATGAAATGCTCTGTACTTAAGTACACAACGAATATTTTAGGCATTATGTGTAATGTTCATAGGTGAGATCATTAGTCAGTTGAGGCTAGACCACCATGGTTTTCTTTCACGTTTTCCACGATGGTCTAGTTGCAATGAACACATGATCTCAACCATTGAAATTACTGTTATTTTGAAGAACCCTTCCAATAAATTTAATTACTTGTAGATCTTATCTAGAGTTTTAAATAGTCTCATTATTGATTAAATGAAATTGAAACAAATACACATTTTGGTATGTGTGTATGTGTGTGCGTTTAACAGATAGAGGAATAACGAAATGAATAAACCACTAATACGTTACATAATCCAAATATCTTAGTACCTGAATTTTTAAATAGTTATGTCGAAGGAGTACTCTCAGGACGAACAAATGGCACAAGCAACCAATTAATTACGGTCAAATAGATAGTGAAAACTAAAAAAGCCACTACCAATACTTTGAAAACGTCGATGGCTATGTGGTCTAACTAGCGAAGTGTATAAACCTTAAATGTTTAAATCTATAATGACTGGGTTTAAGTCTGATTGTGAACACCAACATCGGGATGCATACGCAACTGGCTGTTCCAAGTACGATAAAACTTATGTCCTGGATTGCGTTCCTAAAGACAAAGCGACGAGGTCATGTGAATAATGTGTAAAATGAGGATAAAATAAAACGATGAATGTAACTGTGGAGATGATATTAATAACTATCCAAAGTAATGAGCTGCGAAACGGTCATTTTTGTTACCGATATTTCGTGGAGGATATAGTAGGGAAAAGAACTAAACAAAATACTTTTGTATACATACACGTGGTTGGAAAATTCCAAAGATCATTTTCTCAACTTTATATGGTTATCGGTGCTGCACACACTATGAGAGCTTTATTTGCATTCAATATACGGACTATATATTTAATCTCTCATCGATTTTAATTCAATTTGTAATTGCATGGATCACCCCGTAGTTTTTATTTGGATTGGACTTTGATCAGATTTAGTTCGTATATGCAAATTCTATTCAAATTATCTAGGTATATTCATTGTCACAAGTTTTTATAGAATAGTTGTGGTGTGTTTAGTAGTGGAATCCAGGGAGTTGGTTTCATCTTATTTGGAACTCATTAGCTAGATGTAATTGTATCCAAACAGTGAATATCCAGTTCGAAAGACACTAGATGCTACTATTAAAACAAGAAATTCTCTTTTCCTACTTCTAGTCGTAATTGAGGTGGTTGATGTTTTCTTGGTTTGGGTTCACGTGTATTAGGTGCATACATTTTCTGTACTCCCTCGAACTATGAGATTGAAATCACTTCAAATCTTTCTTTCTGCAAACTAATTCTTTCTTCTTGTACATTATCTTTATATACAATCTTTATTCAAAATATTACGACCATTGAAGTAACTACTTCTATGAATTCAGTGTTCATCTTGTTGTGCTTAAGAGGTATGGCAACTTGGATTGATGCATACATATACGTGGTTCTACATTGTGAATGATTATAAGAGACGAACGTCTATTTAACAGAACATCTATTATAAATAACAAAGTAGTTTACAATAATCTTCAAACATATAAAAGCATTCAATAAAATACCATCTATTCATAATGTCCAATACTTGTGTTATTCATTGTCTTATTGCACGGATGACAGTCGATGAATGTATTTAAACAAAATTGTGAACTGTTGACTAGTGCTATATATTCATAAGTCCATAAGAAAATAATGTACATAACACGCGACTGTTCTTCTTCACTGGATCTACACAAATAATATGCTGTGTATACAATCACCTGTAATAATCAAAACATAAATGATTAATTCATTAGTATCAGAAGGGAGTTTTGTGGATATTATAGTAGTATTATAATAGTTTGCTCGTGAGATTAACAGGTTTTGTGTTCGAATATCGCGAGGTGGAGTTGTGGATGCGCACTGACACTGAGCAGTCACACAACAGGACAAAACGGCCATTCAGTGCTCTCACGTTTCCCATGGTGGTCTATGTTCAATTGATTATTTCATTATTGATGTATTCATATCAACAAATGTATTGGTGAAATAATAGGCATTTACAGATATAGGGTTGGCAACTTGGTAATTTCTAAACATTCCTACATAACAAAAGAACAGTAAGTGTCTAGTATTTCGATCTGTCGATTATTGAGCCATTCAACTAAAGAAACGAACTAAGTGATAAATATTTCACCACTCAATGTCTCGTTTCCAGCCATCCTTCAAAGTGCTTCATGATGAATTCTTGTTGGATGTTCTCAATAGAAAACACTAATTCTTCAAATTTTTAATTTCTACAGAACCATATATTTGAATGCATAATAATCAATGGACGGTTGTTTTTTGTATTTACATTTTATTATTTATTCACAACTTACAATTAACATTGTACAGCACCAACATATCCAGGATACACCGAGTACAATATGCTGAGATAAAGAAAAAAAACAATTCGCCTCAATTCATCATTTATCTATACTAATATCAGTTAAGACACGGTATAACTCGATTATTTAAATCTACTGATTTTAAACTAGCGGTAGCTGACTGATGGACTGAATTCATGTAAGAGTTCAGCCAGTTTGTTATCCCGAATTTTGACATCATGCACCCATCCTCTCTCATACTTGACATTTGACTAAACAACGAATTAGTTTCTTTAATGACTGTATCGTGAAACATCCATGTCAGTGATTCTAAGAACATGAATTCACTAGTGAAGGAACCGCTATGGAGAGCAATTGGAAGGGGATAAAAAAGGCAATCCCTTGGACAAATCATGAGTTTCTGGGCCACAAGGAATTGATCTTTGCAGATACACTGGATAAGATTCAAAAAAGTGGAACAAGAAGGCAGCAATCAATAACAGCTGAACAAGATCAGAAGAAGCTAAGGAGCAAGCTGAATACACAGCAGTATACAAGCAAGTGAAGAGGAGTATGAAAACCGACAAACGTTAATATGTGGAAAACTTAGCAGTGACGGCGAAAAGGCTGCAAGAAAAGAAAAACATGAAATAATCTTATGGTATAACAAAGAAACTTGTTGAAGATCATTGTAAACCGGAAAGACTAGTGGACAGGAATGAAAGCAACGTAATCATCGACATCAAAGAACAGCAAAACAGTTTGATAGAATAATTGAAATAACTATTGAATCTATCAGCTCCAGTGAGCCCACCAAACATCGAATCAGCACCCACGGACTTCTCAATCGATGTTGGCCCACCAACAATTGAAAAAATCAGCATGGCCATCAGACAAATCAACAATGTCAAAGCAACGGGACCAGACAACATTACGGTAGAGGCACAGAAAGCAGATGTAGTAGTAACTGCAAAGACACTCCACATTCTCTTCAGCAAAATTTCAGACGAAAAACAAGTACCATCAAACTGCAAAGAAGGAATTCTAATCAAAATACCGATGAAAGGCGATGTCAACAGAATGATATACTTCATAGACGCCCAATTTCAAGATCAACAGGCAGGATTCCATAAGGATCGATCATGTACAAACCATATCGCACTCTACGGATCATTGTGGAACAATCAATTCAATGGAATTCATCACTCCACATCAACTTCATTGACTAAGAAATGGCATTTCATAGCGTGTACAGAACAACGCTGTGGAAACGTCTTCGACACTACGGTGTGCCTCAGAAGATAGTCAATATCAGACAGAGTTCATATGATGGATTACACTGCAAAATCATGCATGAAGGACAGTTGACAAGGTCATTCGAAGTGGAGAACAGTGTCAGGCAATTTTGCTTACTCTCACCCCTTCTCTTTTTCGGGTGATCGAATATATTATGAAGACGACAACATCCAGGGTGAAGAAGGGGATGCAATGGCTAGCTAGGATGCGCCTGGACGAGATATCGCAGATGATCTGGCACTTCTGTTACATATGCAACAACAAATGCAGGAGAGGTAGACCACTGAAGCCGCAGCCTCAAGATCAGTAGGTCTCGAAATACAGAAAGGGAAAAGCAACATTCTCCCATGCAATACAGCATGCATTAATACATTCACGTTTGACGGAAAAGATTTGGAAGATGGGAAAACCTTTACATATCTGAGCATCATCATTGATGAACACGAAGAATCTGATGTAAAGGCGAAGATCGGCGAAGCAAGAGCAGCATATTTACAAATGAAGTACATCTGGAACTAAGAACAACTCTCTGTCAAACAACACCAAACTCAGAATTTTTAATATAAATGTCATCACAGTTCTACTGTGCGGTATTGAAACTTGAAAAACTACGAAAGCCAGAGGATTCAGGTGTTTATTAACAGTTGTCTAAGCAAAATACTTCAGATCCGTTGGCCAGACACTACACTATCAGCAGCAACATAATGTGGGAAAGAACAAACGAGATTTCAGCGGAGGAAGAAATCATGACGAAGCACCGAAAGTGGATACGACACACATTGAGCAAAGTATCCAACTGCGTCGCAATGCAAACCTCAAGGCAAAATAAGAACACGAAGACCAAAGAACAAATTACTCTGAGAAATTGGAGCAGATATGCGAGGTATTAACAAACATTGGATAGAATTAGAAAGAAAGGCCTAGGACTGAATGGATTAGATAAAGCTGGTAGGTGGCCCATGCTCCACTGGGAGTAACAGCCGTAACTGGATAAGTATGTATGTAACTTTATGAAAGTATCATTTTCGGTAGAAAACACTGTAGTATACACTACGTCAGTGAAATAATGTGAATAAACGTTCAAAAAAGTTGAACATGTATAAGAAAAAACAATTTTTTTGAAATATTGATCAATCAAATATAAATTGAAAATGTATTTCTATTTCGGTGTAGGAAAATGTTGTGTCCCGAAAAGAATGATGAGTGGTCACTTTTTGATCCAGTTTTGGATCAATTCTGTTTAGCGTTTTGGTTAGCGTTTTTTTACCGAATTAGTTTTCTACGGCATACGGACGCTAACCCCATGCAAAACCCTCCTACTTTATCCGGGCTTGGGACCGGCAGTAGCCCCCGGAGGGACTCCAGATGGAGTTGTTGGATCAATATTATATGTATATTTTTGTCTTATTATTGTTAATTAAGCTAAATATTCGCATTCATATTTCTCTTATCATAAGCTTTATTTTGACCTATGAACTGTTACTATACAAATTACCATTCTTGAATTATTTCCTGTCTGTTAATCACTTCCTCCCATGTTCACAGTCATATTTAGCCAGATCTTATAAAAATGTTCTTTCCTGCTTTATGCTACGTTGTGTTCTGCTTGACTATCATATAAGCAGTGTACATTTAAAATACACGATTCATATTGCAGAGGATGGGATTGATGTCCTGGACCTGACTGACCAGGCTAGGCGGAAAGCAGGACTTATCAGGAATGTAGGCTGCAAACACGTGTCTTACGCGTCCTTGATCCGATCGATAATTTGCTGCTTCTGATCGGCGGCTTCAGGCTATAACAGAAACGTTTCACCGGTATTCACGTTCAGCGAATTTAGTTGAGAAAGCTGTAGCTATGCGAATAAACCATAAACAAATCAATAATAATCACTTATTATTACTAGGTTGTGGGAATCTATGATTAGACAAACTTACGTTGGAAAGTGCCCCCGCCTTGGTAAGTGCAACATCCATAAACAAGAGAACGATTCCAATTACAGCAAACACACACCACATCGAGAACAAGATTATCTCCAATTTTCTTTTTTGAATTGTTAGCTTTGCACCCAATAAAATCGCTAAGCTGGCCAACAAAGTATCCACAGTTACAGAAATAATTATTTCATACCATTGTGTTCGTGAATTTAGTAACCCAACACCAATTATCAAAATTATCAACTGAATAGGGAAAAAGTAGTATCATCAAATTAATTACCATTAGTTTAAAAGTTGAATTGGTCAACTATTGGACAAATAATGAAAGAGTAATCTTCACTGTTCTGCATTGAATTGAAATGCTTAACAATGAATAGTTATGGATAAAAGCAGCACATAACAAGGAATCTCTATCCATGTCTATCATAATGATAAACTTGAAATATCTTCAAAGCTAATTTGCTCAACCATCACACATGACCATTTTATATCAGGTTTCTCACCGAAAATGTGTGGAATATACCAATTTGGATAAACCAAGAACTACGACAGCTAGTAATGTGTCTGTGACTTGAAGCACTAAATGATGATATGTGTATCATAGAACACAAGTTCAGTGACAGACAAAGTGTGTGGATGATTATACAAATGAAAATGACACAAATTTAATTTGTTTAGTTGTTCGGTGTTTACAACTCATTCCACATCTTGCAAATGTTTATCACACAAAACGTAGATGAGAGTATAATGTACCAGTATTATGTGTAACCATGTCTACTTATTTCTCAATTGTCCATAACATGAACAGACAGATACCTTTTAATGTTATATTATTTTCACTAGTCATCAGTTAAGTAATACTTCATGATTCGACCGGATCATCAATAAACGTCAACATTTTCATAAAATCAGTGAAAATATATACACTCGGTCTCTACACATCATGTCATCTTAAAATAAAATACAACGTTCAAACTCATCTATTCAAGTCACCCTTCAAAGATCATTTGATCCTGATCACCGTTATCAAACGAACATGACGACATTGTTTTATTATTCAACAAAAAACATTAAACTAAATTCAGTCGATTGTTAGATAAAAGCATCATGAATGTACTATTAAAACCATATTCAACTGACCGTTATAACCATGAACAGAATGTTCATTATGGATGTAGAATGTAGTTTCTTAATAAATATGATTATTAATCCAATAAGTAAACCTATAGATCTGAAATATAAATGAAAAAAGTGTGTGCGACATACTAAGCTCATAGGTGCAACAGATCATTGTAATATGCATGAAATGTTCTACACAATATATATGCATAAAATACGTGAACATATTCCTCAACTTCTCAGTTTGACATTTTCGAAAGTTTGTAAAACTTGTCAAAAAAACCAATAAGATGGATACCTAAGGAATGATCTCTTGAATATTTCATTTCATCGCCAAAATGCACTGGTACGGCCGATGGTGGAAAAAATTAGCTCTCCCTCTCGAAATGCTCACACATTGAAACGCATATTCACCCACTACCATGGAAGATATAATCACTGCCTTATTGTGTCAAGCGTGATGTTTACGAAATTGAGAGGATAAAAAGCGAATGTTCGGCTCTTTGACAGGTTAGTGTATATGCTGAATCCATTTGAGCGAGTTGGAAAAACATGATTACAAATCAGTGACGTACATGGACTCCAGATTTAAAAGGAAAAAAATGGCTTGTGAGCCAATTGTCGGTCATCGGCTGACATGGGATGGCATCTGCTGACGTTGCTTTGTGACTCCGAGTGTGGCCCTCTAACGAAACCACCAACTTCGCTCTGGTCACCCGGACAATATCACAGCCCACACACAAATCAACTGATTTCAGTGGTGCATATCTATTTTCTGACTTTGTATTAATACTGGAGTAGTCTTTGACTATTTGTACTAAATTTTGAGTTGAAATAAATATATGCATAAATACATTTCAATATGATCATGTATTGTGATGTGATGCAACACAAAATGACAATGCATTTCACTAGAGAAGAAATAAACTTTATTTCTCTTCTTCAATCATAATATTCTTGTCAAATAGGGGTCGAATTTCTCATCAAAGTGTATTATTCAGTTCATTGAATAATACGTAATAGTATGGTCGTTAGGATTTCTGGGTAATATCTGTATTTAAAACATATTACTTACGTTAATATGACACCACTGAGAACAACTGGTTTTTCATAATGATCAAAGCTGAATATGTCAAATGGAATGATAAATCTCTTACGTGCAATTAGAATTATTCGTACAATTTATCTGTGAAACATTATCCAATACCAATTTCATGATCGTTTAACTATCTGTAATGGAGATTTGTCAACATTTCACCTTCCTCAATCACAAATTCCAACTTTAGCTGAGTTTAGTAAGAAATCACAATAAAACTGTAATGGAAATAATCAATTTCATAGATTACATAAAACCTTAAATGTTCATTCACATGCCTATTTCTTTCCTCATTCATTGTTTTTCTACACGTTTGGATTCATGGACAGAACTTGAATTCCATCTGATTAGTTTGTTGTAGCATCTTTACGAGCTTCATAACAAAGACTTAAAGCCAATGAGAACTGTTCTCATCAGGTTCATTGTAGCTGCTCACTACATAATGTGGGGTGACTTGTAGTCATTAACGTTATCGCACTTAATCCAGAGAAATAGACCATTTACAATGACTAATGCATTCATCCAAATAATTAATTTTCAATAGAAGTATTTTGTCGCGAAAGTCAAACTATCTCTTTTACTATGATATACTTACTTACTTACTTACTTACTTACGCCTGTTACTCCCACTGGTGCATAGACCGCCAACCAGCATTCTCCAACCCACTCTGTCCTGGGCCTTCTTTTCTAGTTCCATCCAATTATTGTTCATTTTTCTCATGTCTATTTCCATTTCCCGGCGTCATGTGTTCTTTGGTTTTCCTCTTTTCCTTTGACCTTCAGGAGTTCTTGTAAGGGCTCAACTTGTGACGCAGTTGGGTGCTTTCCACAATGTGTGTTATGTCCGTTTCCAGCACTTCTTTCTGATTTCTTCCTCCGCTGTGATCTAATTTGTTCTCTCCCACAGTACGTTGTTGCTTATAGTGTCCGGCCAACGGATCTGAAGTATTTAGCGTAGACAACTGTTAATAAACATTTTTATCTTCTGGATGATGGCTTTCGTAGTTCTCCAAGATTCCGTCCCTCACAGTAGAACTGTGTTGACATTTGTATTGAAAATCTAGACCTTGATGTTAGTTGACAGGTGCTTTGAGTTCCAGATGTTCTTCAGTTGTAGATATGCTGCTCTTGCTTTACCGCCTTCATATCTGCATCAGATCCACCATGTTCATCAATAAGACTGCCAAGATATGTAAAGGTTTTTACATCTTCTAATTTTTTTCCGTCAATTGTGATTGGATTAGTGCATGCTGTGTTGTATCAAAGAACCTCGCTCTTCCCTTTGTGTATATTGAGACCTACTGCTGCTGAGGCTGCTACTATACTGGTCGTCTTCTCCTACATTTGTTGTTGCGTTTGGGATAGAAGGGCCAGATCATATGCGAAGTCTAGATCGTCCAATTTCATCCTAGATGTCCATTGTATCCCGTGTTTCCCTTCAGATGTTGACGTCTTTATGATCCATTCGATCACCAGGAGAAAGAGAAAAGGTGAGAGTAAGCGAGCTTACCTGACACTGGTCTTTACTTCGAGCAATTCTGTCAGCTGTCCTTCGTGCACGATCTTGAAGTTTAATCCATTATAAGGATTCTATATGATATTGACTATTTTTTCAGGCATGCCATGGTGTCGAAGAAGTTTCCATACTATTGTTCTGTCCATGCCATGCTTCCTCGTAGTCAATGAAGTTGATGTAGAGTGATGAATTCCATTAAATTTGTTATTTCAAAATGAGCTGTAGTGTTGCGATTTGGTCTGTACACGACCGATCCTTACGGAATCCAGCCTGTTGGACTGGAAGTTGGGCGTCTGCGCAGTCCTTCATTCTGTTTAACAATAACCTGTTGAAGACGTTTCCCGGTATTAAGAGAAGAGTGATGCCCTTGCAGTTATCACACTTGCTGAGATTGCTTTTCTTCGGTATTTTGATCAGAAGTGCTTCTTTCGATTCAGTTGGTACTTGTTCCTCATCTCAAATTTTATTGAAGATAATGTGGAGTATCCTTGCAGTTGCCGCTACGTCTGCTTTTGATGCTCCTGCCGGAATGTTGTCTGGTCCTGCGGCTTTGCCAATCTTGATTTGTCTGATGACCATGCTGATTTCTTCAATTGTTGGTGGGCCAACGTTGATTTGGAGGTTCGTGGGTGCTGCTTCGATGTTAGGTGGGTTCAGTGGAGCTGATCGATTCAAGAGTTCTTTGAAGTGTTCTACTCACCTGTTTCGTTGTTCTTCAATAATGGTGATTATCTCGTTTTCCTTGCTTTTCACTGGTCGTTCAGGTTTGCGGCGACTTCGAGAGAGGTTCTTCGTTATGTCGTACAGCTGTCTCACGTTTCCTTCTATTGCAGCTTTTTCTACCCTTACTGCTAGATGTTCCACATATTTTCGTTTGTCGGTTCTGATGCTCTTCTTCACTTGTTTGTTTACTACTGTGTATTCAGCGTGTGCTTTGGCTTTTTCTGTTCTTGTTCGACTGGTATTGATTGCTGCATTCTAGTTCCTTATTTCTTGAATCTTATCCAGTGTATCAACAATGATTCATTCCTTGTGACCCAGAACCTCATGAAATGTCGAAGTGATTGCCTCTTATATCCCCTTCCAGTTGCTCTCCACAGTAGCTCCTTCTCCATTGAGTAGATCATGAAAGGCCTAGAATTTATTGCTGAGGACTATCTTGAATTCGTTGAGTTTGTTAGTATCTCGAAGAAAGGCCGTATTAAACATTTGTGATATTGTCCGCTCCGTTATCCAGTACATTTTGAGTTTCAATTTCATCTTGGCGACCAGCAAGTAATGATCTGATGCTATATCGGCTACTCTCTTGGTTCTAACGTCTTCTATAGTCCTCCTGAACGTTTTGTTGATGCAAATGTGGCCGATTTGGTTTAGCGTGGTGTGATCCGGTGAAGTGCATGTGGTTTTGTGCATGCATTTATGTGGGAATATGGTGTCGCCTATGAACAGTTTATTGAAGGCACATAGGTTTACAAATCTCTGACCATTTTCGTTCCTTTCTCCCAGTCCGTGTTGTCCCATGGTGTTATCATATCCAGTGTTGTCCTTTCCAACCTTGGCATTAGAATCTCCTATCAGAATGGTAAGGTCCTTTGTTGGGCACTTCTCGATGATTGACTGCAGCCTGTTGTACAATTAATCTTTAGCGTCTTCATTGTAATCGTTGGTAGGCACATAAAATTGGATGATGTTCATTGAAATTCTTTCTTTCTTTGTTTTGAAGAAGGCTTTGATGATCCTTGATCCATGAGATTTCCATCCTATAAGTGCATTTTGTGCTCGTTTGGACAGCGTCAGTGCAACTCCTTGTGTCTGTGGGGCATTTTCTTCTTCACGGCTGGAGTATAACAGAAGCTCTTCTGAAGTTAGTCGTTGTTGTCAAACTTGCGTCCAATGTGTTTCACTGATGCCAAGTACCTCTAGTTTGTATCTTCTCATTTCTGCAGTAATTTGGAAGGCTCTGCCGGCGTCCCACATTGTACGGACATTCCATGTACTTAAATAAATGGTCGCTCTGGTTGTCAGAAGAGGCATCGGCCTCGTTACTTCCGAAGGAATTAGGTTTTCATCATGAGGCGTCATAGTTCTTCTAAATGAAGACCTTCCGACTCCCAGGACAGGGTTTAAAACGTTTTAATAATTTTTTTTGGTCAGCGTGCTTTTAGCGAACTAGTTTTCTACGGAATGGGGACGACAACCCCATGCTCAATCCTCCTCTTTTGTCCGGGCTTGGGACTGGCAGTAGCCCCTGGAGGGACTCCAGGCGGAGCTTTTTACTATGATATATTTTTGGTTAAATAGTCAACGTCATGCAATCGAAGCTTGATCACCGTACCATCTATGGAAAACACTTTGTTGAGTAGACTGATGATACAGATGTGTATATTACGAATAATGATTTCTACTTCTTCATATTTTCTTGAAATGAATTAGATTTTGTACTTCAGTGAATGATGATCTGTTGTTAATTGTTTCATGCGTAATCCTTGCAAATGTCAAGTTGCTAATTTTAGCCTGAAATACGAACTGCATACAAACACCTTATTCTAATACCATGGGGTGTGTGCTATTACGGATTCCGTAATAAAAACAATGTCAAAGGTTACTTTTTGTGGAGTAAGAGTTCGCTCTCATCTCTCTCTCCCTCTTATCATGTGGCTGGGATATGGAAGAAAGCGTTCTGTAGGACTCAATATTTAAAGAGGTTACATGCTTTTCACATTGCTCGACATTTATATTGACGATTTTTTTACTCTTGCTCTTACCTATTATTCATTACTTTTCTCAATTTTTCTCGATAGTTGATTTTAAGGAACTATTTTACCATTTTGTGGAGACTTCTGAAGGCAGTGAGTAGGGTGTGTGATGAATCGTTTAAGATCATTACAAACATGGTTGTGGATAGATACTGAAAATCTTGCAAACTTCTGGCAAGTGATGACGTAGCAAATATTTACCATATATTCCATCTTGTACATCTTGTAATAGAACAAGCCACTAATACATGAGAATGTGTGATAACCCCTCTCGTATAAATAAATAAACTAGTCGTAATCATTTGTGCTGAGAGTTATATTTTCAGCTGACACCACGTTTAGGTTTGAACGTCCTAAATCCCTCACACTAGTCAACATTGCGCGTCATGATATTCTGTGTTGAGGAATACGTAAAACCTGACCTAACCACCTCAATAGCTGAAGATTCACAACCTCATCAATTGATTTATAATCATTCGCCAATACCCTTAATCTTATAATGCTGTTACTTACGCAGTGATACCAGAAGATATGAACAATATTTCTAATGCATCTGTGACCGATTACAAGTAGCTTAAGAGTATCTTTCACTCCTGTCGGCCACATTTTGCAGCCGTAACTTAAAAAAAGGCTGCTGCGCAGTATACTAGTTCTTCTATTGATAGACGGATATCTTTACTTCGCTATAGGTGATGTAATTCGACAAAAGCCAAATGAGCTTTTCGAACCCGTGTTGAGGTTTTGTCAGACAACACCCCACTACGGCTAATCACATTTCGAAGAAAAATGGAGTTGTCGACGTGTTCGACTACTTCACTCCCTATCCTTATTTCAAGTGTTGACGCCAGCCAGTCTTTGATCAGCAACCCGCAGTTAGAGGGAGAGAAGTGCATGTCAAACATCCTAGCATTGATGCTCACCGCTACAAAAAACTCTGTATTTTATCATCGTGTTCACCAAACAGAACAATGTCATTTGTGTATTCTAAGTCGATTAGTGAACCTTCTGGTTGCTGATCAATCCTACTTATAATACAACTTATCAACAAATCTTAACGCATGCTTAATTCATACACTTTGGTAAAAATTGATAAACTTACATGGAATTATTCGTATGTTCAGTATTAATGATTCAATAAAATTACACAATTTTATAATGAAATTCATCGATTGCTTGATTGAACTTTGGTTAAGTGAACATTGTACAAAACAACAGAATAAGTGATTTGGTTAGAAACTAGTATGATGGAAACAAAAGTCAATTTACTATTTGATTTACTCATTATGGGTTTTTGTTCAAAATTAATTCCGTTTTGATTCAATGTGATGATTAATCAATGTACTTTTTGTTTTCTTTTCTCGGATTATATTTTATTGTGTACAATATATGGCATGAACTTTGTTCAGTATGTGATTTCATCTTAATTATTAATCAAGATGTGCGTACAATCAGTATATAAATGAGTGTATTTTCTACTCGAGTCGTCTTCATTGTCGTCATAGTGTTGTTGGGTAAAAAAACGTCACTTATATCAGTCTTTGTGTTCTTCCATTCTCGTTGTGAAAATTGCAGAGGTCCCTCGTACCGATTGTAAGTGATAAACGTCTCCTACATAACAATGAGCAACGAACAGATACAAAAGTTAGCAGTCAAACCACAAATTAGAGCAGAAATCGAACAAACTGCATTTAATTGTTAGTTTATTTAGAACAAATAAGTGATGGCTCTTTGAAATGGAAATAACCAATGATCTTATTTATCCGATAATCTGAATAAATGAATGGAGTCTCTACGGAGAATGCATGTCAAACAAAGCACCATTCATTTCTATTCCTTGATAATATGATTAGTTTCTGTGGTCAAAATCGACACATCTTGCATACTTTGAATATATATATATATATATATATATATATATATATATATATATATATATTGTTGCAGTAAGAAGTATGGGAAACATAAACGCCGTCGTCAACATGTTGTAATTTTATCCTTGAGTGAAGAAATGCTTTCGATTCCGTGTCTACCAGCCTCACAATCGGAGACGTTGTCACTGAACTACTCGCACTTTCTCTTTCTCTCTATGTATATAGGCTGAACAACTGTATATAGGAATGCTGTATGTCAAAATTTTGAGTTTTCCTACTTCTTACAACTTGACTTATTTGATTGGTTTTGTGCTTGTTTACTCACAAGAACACTTTATCAATTAGCTTGCCTTTAACCTACTGGTTAAAAGCTGAGAGATTTCACTTAGTCAAACAGATAGTTGATTTGGCATGGTGCAGACGTAATCACTATAGATAACTGTGTATTACGAATTCGTAAGTGAATTTTGACAGATCGACGTAGAAATGAATGCGTAAGTAGAAATTCAAAAGAAATCTATGTGGCTTAACAAAATAAATGAGATTGTTTTCCTATTAACCAACCTGTTCTATCATTTTGATAACCAATTAAACCATTTCTAACCACGATGTCAATATTCTGTCTATCTAATTAATGAGTAGTCAGTTATCAGTATTACAGTATTTATTAACGATGAAAATGTCATCGAATTCATTCACTGAATTTCATTTGTTCATCTATTTAACATCAACTGTAATTAGACAGTTCAGTTTCTACGACGGAGGAAATCGGTAATCATTTGTGCAAGTCAAGTGGTTTGAGTTTAATAACTGGATGTGGAAGTTAACCATCAGTTAAGGATTCCCTCATGCATCACGTAGCATATCAAGCAATAAGGTTCATTCTGTTCAAAACAAAAACCAACCTATTTTTAGCTAGAATTGAACATGACGTGCAAAACACCCGATATGAATGCTCCATACTGAAGGTTATTTTCCACTTGATAAACCTTTTTCGTGTCATTTTTGTTAAGTATCATTTGTGTTTATCCCATGAAGACATCAATATAGTTGTTGTACACATTAGGACGTTTACTTAATCCCTTATGAATATTTCATGTCACACAGATAATCAATGTAGTTTGAACGATCAGTACTGTAAGAGGTTTCCTATCAACTAATATGAATACATCATGACTACGTCAAGTTGTATATTCCATAGATCTTAACAAGCTGTAGTGAAATGTGATACGACATTAACGATTTTCCTAATAACAGTCGGAAATAGCTCAACTTGTAAACGAACGTTACTAATCATGAATAGGTCAACAGTTCACTTAGTGTAGAGCTGACTACGGTCAACCGAACACAACAGAATCATGTAGGCCAAATTCACCTATTTCATGTTGATAATGAAACGGACTTCGTAAACAATAATTAGTCCTGGAAGTCTGTTACATTTTGCTCATCACTGTTGATGGTTCAGTGAACACAAATATCATGATCAATATTATGTGACTGTTATGATGATCGTTCTTGTTGAAAGTTGTAAGATATACAAAATGTGCATTCATTCAGTGTACAGATCGAACTGTTTATATTTATGTCAATATCTTCCGCAATATGGTCTTTTCATATTCTTGAATCTCCACATTTGAACTCAATTTATTCTAGACACTTTCATCGTCGAGTATGATGTAAAGTTGTTTCGTTCCAATGATTAATAGTAACAGATTATAACCAGTCAGTCCATGAAATTCGTGTAAATTTGCTGTGATATTAATTCTTTAAGTATTAAAGTATTTACATTAAATTCACTTGATATTATTTACTTGAATCTTCCCAATGATGTTTAGGACTGCAGTTGATCAGTCTTTCATTGACATATGTTCATACTGTCAGTATTGCCTTGATGTTATGTTCAGTAACAAGCATCACAATAAGCAAACAAGGATGGTTGCTAACATTGGATTTTGGTTGTAGCCACTTGTGTGTTGTCGTTCACCACATTACTAATGTGAAATGTATATTATCGTGAAAGTAACAAGAAGTGTTGTGAAGCAGTTACTCTTTCAAGTTTTAAACTTTGTTGACCAGAAGTAACGAAATACTTGTTCCTTGAGATTCATGTCTATGTAAGCAGTTGCACAGCATTATTGATAGTAGATAGATAGATAGATAAAATGATTGTTATGTTCCTTCTGAATCTGGAGGTCGAAAACATTAGCTAGTAATGAGAGAAGTCATAGTATAGAGAAATGTAGATTAATCTCCCTCATTACCGAGAAATTGAAAGTGAACATCGAGGATTCCTTCAAATAATTGGCCTTATGGTGTCATCATTGTGTATTCAAATAATAACTGTTGTGAAAATTTTTGTCATGGTATTAAAAGAAAGCATTAATTTGTAAGTCATATATGTAATGTACCAAAATCTATTTGCATTCAAAATATCAGTTATAGGCGGGACAATTTTCACACACAAACGCATGCACAATGCCTCATGGGTCTCACCGTATCACATCACAGATTGGTAAAGAGTAACTGCACAACCGAAAAAACAGCAGTATAAAGTACTTGACAGCTGTTCCTTCCTAGCATAGATCTCCTTACTAATGCACATCTATGTCTCCACATCCAGTGGTCTAGTTAGGAAGAACCCATGATTTAAACTGTGAAAATAAGTTGGTCAAAAATGAAAATAATAACGGTTCCACATTGGTTTCATTTGACGAAGATAATAGTTCTATTGATATTAGGTAAAGGTTGTTTGTTAGTTTACTCATCTGAACCGTAACTGCAAGTTAATCTAAGTTCAAATAATTTAGTATGAACACTTCTGATAGTAAAACTGTGTAACACGAATTTGCATACCTTCGGAAAGAATATACCAGATCTATTAACTTTATAGTTACTTTGACGATGTATTCAGAAGATAATAATTAACGATACATCTTCAGTGGTCAGGGTTTGAATCAATCCGTTGATGATATTCTGGGCTGGAGTTGGGTGAGATTTTGTCTGTGTGTAAGGTGTTGGTTTGGACTACTTCGAAACAGAAAAGATGGATTGTGACTACCATTGGGATCCAGGACATGGGTTTCGTTACGCTTACCAGAAAAATCATTTCAACTATTTAAAATCTATTAGTGGCCTGCTATTTAACTCAAATAGAATCTTATTATTGATTGGTGCCTAAATATATATATCATCAACCCTAGTATATAGTTAACGGCTTACCTCGCGTTAGTTATCAAATACGAGAAAGAATTTCGAATACATGTATTTAGAAAACTATCTCAAAATTCATGGAGGATATAAGAACAAAGCGAACAGCTGAAATAGATTTGGATCACAACCTCACAGTGGTAAAGTTGAAAATGAAGCACTAGACAACTGTAAAAACGACATTACAGAGGATAATACATTTGGTATTTGTAATACTAGACCTGAAGAATTTCTGGACAACTCACGAAACAGCAAAGGTTCGATACAGCTTTCCTCCGGGATACTTACAAATATAACGTGGCTATCAACAACAGAGGATCTACTCAAAGAAGGAGATACTACTATGAATAGCAACTCGAAAGGGATCATTGAAGTACTAACTTCAACGTGTCAGAGATTTCTGGGCCACAACATGCATCATCATAAGGGATGTATATTTACTGAAACCGTGGTAAGGATTCGAGAAAAAAAACAAAAGATACCGAATAACAACGGCTGTACAAGAGCAAGGAAAGTCGAGGCAAAAACGGAATATACCGAAGCAAATAAGCAATTGAAAAAGAGCGTCGGAAGTGACGAACAGAAATATGTGTAAGACGTAGTGATGTCAGTAGGAAAAGCTGAACGAGAGAGAAATATGTAACAGCTGTATGACACACAATAGAGAAACTAGCAAAGAGTCATGGCAAGAGCAAGTCAGTGACTTAGATTTGAGAACAGAAGATTAGCAGGGTAGAACATTCTGAGGAGTATACCAGCTCCACTGAATTTACTAAACAACGAAGCAGCACTCACAGACCTATTAATAGATGTCATATACACCAACCAATCCATTTTAAAACATCTAGTATAGCATTAGTCTCTTCAACAATAATCCTCAACGTTCACAAAGCGAAACCCTAGATTCTCAAATAAAACAAGGGGAACACCAAACAAACATTACTTGATAGATAAAGGTTGGAAAAGTTGGGGACTATCACGTACCTGGGAAGCGTCATTTATTAACAAAGAGGATCTGATGCACACATAGAAGTAAGGGTTGGCAAA